TGCCTGTACCTGTACTGACTCACCTTTAATAGTCGATTTTAATTTTTGCTTTATCTCTCGGATTGAATTTTCATTTCCCATAAAGTTTCTTGCTGTACCTTTTAGCTTGGTTTTTATCATTGAAATTGCTATGGCTTCATGACTATCCTTGATTTGTTCCAGGATATCAAGAGCATCTAAAAAACTATGTAGGTTCTCTTGCTTACCGTCAAATTCAGGTAGGAATTATGAAACTGTCTTAATGAATTCTACTGTTGTCTGTGCCATTTTGACGTTTGTTGTTTGGGAATTCAGTATCTGATACTCGTTTCCTTTTTGGTCTTCGTCTAGGTCGGAGGGAGATTCCAACAGGTATGTGCTAAAGTCTATTTGTATATTTTGTTCGATTGGTACTGTCTCCTCTATGTTATACCTTGCTAGTGAGGATACCAATTTGTCCCTAACACTAGAAAATATTTGGTATGCCTCTTTTTGGTGACTGCTAGTTAGTTGGCTATTTACACTACGTATTGCCGAACCTAATCTATTTAATGAATCTAATATTAGTGTGAGATGTTTCACTACTGTTTCTGCTTTTATTTTTGTATTTTTGTTTATGCACTTGTAAGATTTTTTTGCTGTATTTTTTTTCTTCTACGAGTGCCTTAAAAATTTCTTCCCATTTGCTCATTGAGGAAGGGAGGCTAAGAGAGAGCGGAAAAAAATAAAATTTTGTTTAAACCTTATCTAGACCGTCAGCACGGCTCAAGTACCTCTTTTTCAGATTTTTATTATGTGCAGAGTAAATCTTTAAAAATCGGCTTATGCAGCTTGCAATACTAATAATTAGGGCAACCCAAAATATGTTCAGGCATGTTTTTTGTTAGGCATTTTAGGAACACGCTGATGAAATGCTTAAACGTTTTTCCAAAAAATATGAAGTTTGAGATATATTTCTTAGAGCATATTCTAGCATATTTTACAATAAATGCATATTTCAGCATATTTTGCAGTAAATGCATATTTTCGGATACTTTGTGCTGCGCTGTTAGATTTAGAACCAATAATAAAAATTTCTGAAATAATTTTGTCGAAAATTAAATAAATTTCAAAGTGCACGTCCACATCGTGTTTTTATAAATTTTTTTATGTGTGAGAAAGATAATACTACATATTTATATGTTTCGCTCTTGACAGATGATTTTTCCCGACGCTGACCCGCCATGGCGCGCCATTATAATTTCGATTGACAAGCAATTAACAAAGATTTGATCAAACGCAATTAACTGTGTTTTGTTATGGAAATCTTTATTATTACTAGTACCAGGTTACGCAGCGAGATACAAAACTGGTCGGTTACAGGCTACGTGTTACTACTATAAGTACCAGGGCATAGTTACGTAGAGGGAGGCAATTTCACCTCCTAGGACAACTCCATGTTAAATGCGACAGCAGGAAGCATTGGTGGTAGATTTGCGAGGTGCCGGTATTCGACTAGATTCCATGTACTTTTATACATAGCACGTTTAAAAAATAAAAAATGGAATAAATATGAATTATTAAACATAAATATTTATGTATATACACTTTTATGAAATTTAGAACATTTTAGGTGCTGCAAATAAAGTTAAAGGTATTTTTGGGCATGCAGATACTACATAAATGACAGTTAAAAGCATATCTTATGGCTTATAATGATTTTAAAAGCATTTTGTGGGGCATATATTTAGAATTTATTGGCACATTTCAGGCGCTTAAAATTTGTTTTTAGGAGCATATTTTGGGTTGCCCTACTAATAATCAAAAGCATTACCTTGATGGTATTTAATGCTTCGCTATGATCTATTATTTCAATGGAGTTTAGTCCCCTTTCAGACACGTCAAGTCTTGCTTTCAAGTCTGCTCGTTCGTAGGCGAAGAAGGTGAGAAGAGAGGGGAAGAGTACAGATACCTCCGTACCGTCAATTCGTTTCAAGTTTTCTTGTCTCTTTTGATCTTTTCGTTGCTTCCCATTTAAAGAACCAAGGACTTGAATTCAATTAAAGTTGACGCGTGTGGAAGCAAATAGAAAACACAAAAGAGAATGCGAAAAAATTGCTTTCAAGACTTGACGTGTCTGAAAGGAGACTTACTACATTAGCATTAGGCTTATCTATTTTTGATGTTTGTCCACCCATTTTGTTGAAAAAAAAACTCTAGTTGTGGGGTTTACTTCACTTCTATTGTAGGGGTCCTGTCTATTTCTAATAATATCCAGAATAAAAAATATTTTTGTAAAAAGAAAATTCTCTTGTTTTTATATAAAAGTTTTAGTATGAAACGGAAAGAATCTTTCGATTTTTGCCAATAAGTAGGCAGCCCTTAGTTAGTATTTAATTTAAATATTATTGTTAGTATTTAATTTAAATATTTAATAATTTAAATAACAGCAAGAATCTTTCAATCCTTGCCAATCAATAGGCAGCTGTTAGGTTGCCAAAATATTAATTATTATTATTTTGATATTAAATTAACGACACCTTTTTCTCCTTTTCCCGTCTGGATTTCTTGCTTGGCTAAACAGCCTACATAAAGTCATCTTCCTGGTTGCTTTTTACCTGACGTTTCCTATTGTAAATTTTCAAATAAGCTTGTATGAGCCTCTGATTAGCACGTTCAGCCCAGTTTTTTTTCTGGGGCAAACCGGTGATGAAAATAGCGAACTCCTGTTCGCCGAAATGAGGTTGCTGGTGGGCAATGGACACCAACTTGTTCATTTTTAGGTCGAAACGTTGCCCGGTTGGCGAGGTTGTGTAGCTTTTTTATGTTAACAGCTATGTCAGCTACTAACTGTGTTTTGTCAGTACGAAGGCATTGCCGCTAGATTTGGCACGATATTTTGCGGCTTGCCACTATAAAAGGCAAGTTGCCGCTATATCTGGCAGGATCGCCATGTAATAAAACGACAAGAAATTTGTTGTGGCGCAGTTGAGCGCTTATCGAATATTGTTCTTTATTAATTAATTCTTTCCTAATTTATACAAATTTTAACTTATTTAATTCTATGTTTTCTTATCTATATATATAAAAATGATTTGGTGTTTAATTGTAACGCTAAAACTTGAAAACGGCTGAACCAAATCAAATACTTCCTTAGGGGGGCTTGTTTGTTGTTACCCCGCGAAGGTTTAGTCGAAGAAAAAATTAAAAAATATTAGGGTGGCGTGGCACCTCCCATACAATCTTAATTTTTAAAGCTGATTATCTCTAAAAGAGTTCAAGGTAGGGAGCTGAAAATTGGTATAGAGGTAGGTGATATCAAAACCCTTCTCACGCAGAAAAGTGGGGGTTATCAGAAAAGAGGGCGTGGCACCTCCCATACAAACTTAATTTTTCATGTTGAATATCTCTAAAATTGTTTAAGGTAGGGACTTGGATATTGGTGTGGAGATAAACGATAACAATTCCATATTAACTCAAAATAATAGGAGTTATACGAAAAGGGGGCGTGGCACCTCCCATACATACTTAGCTGAATATATCAGAAAGAATAAATGGCAGGATCCTGAAAATTGCTATAGAGCTAAATGATATTAAAACCACTCTCACGCATAAAAGTGGGGGTTATCGGAAAAGGGGTCGTTGCACCTCCCATACAAACTTAATTTTTCAAGCTGAATATCTATAAAAGCGTTTAAGGTTGGGACCTGAAAATTGATCAGGAGATTAACGATATCAATAGCATGCTTATGAAAAAAACAGTAGTTTTGGGAAAAGGGGGCGTGGCACCTCCCATGCGTTCTTAATTTTTAAGGCTAAATTTCCCTAAAAGCGTTCATTGCATGTACATAGAAATCACTATGCAGATATACGATATCAATACCATGTTCACCAAAAAAAAAAAGATTTATCGAAAAATGGGGCAAAGGAAGTTCATGCTCGTGAAAGTGATGAAGTAAGATCACAACATGCGATTGTTCGACGACAACAGCGGCAACAACAAGTTTCTTTGGTGAACACTGAACGGGCAGGCTTTCGATATGAGCCAAACATTCAATATAGCGCATCTGTTCAAATCGGTCAAATGTCAGTAGTTTGTCAATATTACAATGCAGTCAAATTTCAAAAAGAACCGCCAGGATTATGTTGCGCGGCGGGAAAGGTTAAGTTGCCAGAATTGCTTCCACCACCAGAGCCATTGTTCCAGCTGCTTTACGGTGAATCTCCCAACTCGAGGCATTTCTTACAGCACACTAAAATGTACAACGCTTGTTTTCAAATGACGTCGTTTGGCGGTGAAATTGTAAATGAACAAAACTACAATGCAACGTTTAAGGTAATTTTACTAAGCGCAATACTTGACAGAAATTACAGAACTTTCCTCCAATTATACAGGTTCATGGGCAAATTTTTCATCTCGCTGGATCGCTGTTGCCGCATCCAGATCAAGAACACAAATATCTCCAAATTTACTTTCTGGGAGATTCACATGATGAACTAAATCGACGTTGTACTATCTTCAATGCAACGAAAATAGAAATAATCGATCAATTGCAGCAAATGTTACACGAACACAATGACCTTATCAAACTGTTTACGATTTCGTTGGAACGTATGCCAACAGATGATCATAGCATAATCATACATGCGGACAACAGACCAACAGGAACTCATGAAAGACAATATAATGCACCTACAGTTAGCGAAATATCAGTTGTTGTTGTTGGAGAAAATTTGGAGTCGCGTGATATTGTCATAAAACGTAGAACTGAAAACGCACTAAAGCGGATAAGTGAGACACATCGGTCTTACGACGCAATGCAATATCCGCTCATGTTCTGCCGTGGGGAAGACGGATATCACTTAGGCTACAAGATGATAAATCCAATGAATGGTTAGTACAAAAAAATGTTTGTCGAGGTGTCGAGACAAATAAAAAGGTCAGTTCAATGAACTTTTACGCATATCGAATGATGATTCGACAAAACTATGACAACCACTTACTGAGATATCGACGATTATTCCAACAGTATGCAGTTGATATGTACGTTAAAGTTGAGACAGAACGACTTAATTACATTCGATACAATCAGTCGAAGTTGCGATCTGAAGAGTATGTTCACTTACGAGATGCGATGAATAGTGATGCGGATATTACAGATATTGCTCGACTAACTATTTTGCCATCGACATACATTGGCAGTCCTAGACACATGCATGAGTACTCCCAGGACGCGATGACTTACGTGCGCAATTATGGACGACCGGATTTGTTTGTAACATTTACTTGCAATCCAAAATGGCCAGACATTACGAATCTGTTGCATCCCGGCCAATCACCAAGCGATCACCACGACGTCACAGCACGAGTGTTTAAACAAAAACTCAGATGTTTGATGGACTTCATTACGAAACAACGTGTATATGGTACTGTTCGATGCTGGATGTACTCAGTGGAGTGGCAGAAGAGAGGTTTACCCCACGCACACATTCTGCTTTGGATGGTGGAGAAAATTACACCTGACCAAATTGATGACATAATTTCCGCTGAAATTCCTGATGTTGATATAGATCCAGAGTTGCACGAAGTGGTGATGGCCAATATGGTTCATGGGCCATGCGGACAACACGATCCATCTTCGGTTTGTATGTCGGACAATAAATGCAAAAAACGCTATCCACGTGATTTTATTTCGGAAACTCAAACTGGAAACGATGGATACCCTCTCTATCGGCGTCGCTCACCCGCTGACAATGGCAGAACATCCATCACTCAATTGAAAGGAAAGAATTTCTTGGTTGATAACACATGGATCGTTCCATATTCGCCTATTTTGTCTAAGGCATTCAAAACACATATAAATGCTGAGTATTGCAGTTCAATAAAGTCAATTAAGTATGTTTGCAAATACGTCACCAAAGGAAGCGATATGGCGGTTATTGGCGTGGAACGAGATGAAATTAGCAAATTTCAAATGGGCAGATATGTCAATTGCAATGAAGCAATCTGGAGAATATTTTCATTTGCAATACATGAACGCCATCCGACTGTTGTGCATCTGGCAGTTCATTTGGAGAATGGCCAACGAGTTTATTTCAACGCAGAGAACATAGTACAGCGAGTGGAAAGACCACCAGCAACCACTTTAACAAGTTTCTTTGCAACTTGCGCCAGTGATCCGTTCGCGAGAACATTGCTTTACTCTGAGATGCCTCGGTATTATACATGGAATGCATCGTCGAAGAAATGGTTACGCAGGAAGTACGGCCATCCAGTAGATGGTTATCCAGGTGTTTTTTCAACTGATGCATTGGGAAGAATTTACAGTATCCATCCAAAGAACGATGATTGCTTTTACCTACGTTTGCTTCTGGTCAATGTACGCGGTTCAACTTCATTTCAATCTTTGAGGACTGTAGATGGTACCATTTGTGCAACATTTCGAGAAGCATGTCAACATTTGAAATTGCTTGAACACGACAGTCACTGGAATCAAACGCTAGCGGATGCAATAGCTTCCTCACCAGCCACTGCACTTTTCGCTATAATAATTTCGACATGTCAGCCTTCAAACCCGCGTCTATTATGGGATACGTACAAAGATGACATGGCAGAAGATATTTTGCACCGCTTGCGACTAGCGACAAGAAATTTCGAGTTGCAAATGAACGCTGACATCTACAATGAAGCATTAGTCCTTACTGAAGATTTATGTTTACTCATGAGTGGAAAACTATTGATTGAAGTTCATATGCCAGCGCCAAGTCGTCAAGCAAGGGATGTACTGAATCACGAATTGGAACGCGAGCGTGCTTACGATATAACTCACTTGCAACAACAAGTACAAACAAATTTTCCACTGTTGAATGAACAGCAAAGCAGTGCGTACAATCAACTAATAAATGCTGCAGATAATGGAAACGGTGGCATATTTTTTCTCGATGCGCCCGGCGGGACCGGTAAAACGTTCCTATTGTCTTTAATACTAGCAGCAATACGTGGTCAAAGTGGTATTGCATTAGCTCTTGCATCTACCGGGATTACGGCAACACTGTTGGAAGGTGGAAGAACGGCACATTCAGCATTAAAGCTTCCATTAAACTTGCAAATACACGAAAGTCCTGTTTGCAATATTTCAAAGCAATCAGCAATGGCACAAGTTTTAAGAAACTGTAAATTGATCATATGGGATGAGTGCGCAATGGCCTACAAACGATCATTAGAAGCACTCGACCGAACATTGAGAGATTTGCGCAATAATGATCGTTGCTTTGGAGGAGTGATGATATTGCTGGCGGGCGACTTCAGACAAGCACTACCCGTGATTCCAAAATCAACAGCGGCGGATGAGCTAAACGCATGTCTGAAGTCATCGCATTTGTGGAGGTTTGTTAAAACCATTTCATTGACGATCAATATGCGAGTTTTGCTGAAACACGATAGAACTGCAGAGGTTTTTCAAAAGAGCTGCTGCGAATCGGCAATGGACAAGTTCCGATAGATCCGTGCAGTGGATTAATATCGATTCCAACTGCGATTTGCCAATTCGCTTCAAGTAAGGATGAACTAATTAGCAGTGTATATCCAAATATCGCTCAAAATTATGGTAACTACGAATGGTTAGCCGCACGCGCAATTTTAGCAGCAAAAAATATTGATGTATTGATTGATATTGTTGTAGTAAATTACCCAGTGGAGATCTTAAACTCTCTGGATTTGCCTGGAATGCCTCCTCATCATTTGCGTCTCAGAGTTGGGTCTGTTGTTATTATGCTACGCAATCTTCATGCTACCAAACTGTGCAATGGTACACGACTGATTGTTACGAAGCTAATGGACAATTTAGTAGTGGCAAGCATTTTGAAAGGCCCGTTCAAGGGAGAGGAATGCTTACTTCCCCGGATTCCCTTAACTTCAACAGATTTGCCTTTCCAATTCAAACGTATGCAGTTCCTAGTGAAACTTGCATTTGCGATGACAATTAACAAGTCACAAGGGCAGTCGTTGGAAGTATGCGGCATAAACCTAGAAATGCCATGCTTTTCACATGGTCAGCTCTATGTGGCGTGTTCCCGTGTTGGAAAACCGTCCTCGCTATTTATTTACGATCCGGGACAGAAAACTAAAAATGTTGTGTATCGTGCAGCCTTAAATTGAATACTAAATTTATATACTTTGAAGTTGTATACACAATGAAGTAGTGAAAAATCGTTAATTTTCTATTAAAAATAATACCGGTGTAGTAACAATTTTTGAAATGAAATTAATAAAAAAATCTATTTTGGGCAGAACGAAGTTTACCGGGTCAGCTAGTTTACTATAATACATATTTATTATACTTCTTATATACTAGTCTTACAAACACATGTATGTGCAGCCAGACACTTATGCACATGCAAATGCACATTAGGGGTATTCTCGAAGTCTTGCACGATGCACGGATTGCACGAAATGCAAAAATACTATTCCAAATTTCGAAGAGTACGAGAGCACCCCATTGCAAAGTGGTAGCATGCATGGGTAGCAAGCAGCGAAATTATGTATCAAATACAATAACAAGGGACAGCAAATAACAAATGAAGTGAGCGAGATGAGAGGAATGAGAGAAATATGTAGCAATTCCACCAACAAAACAACTAGCACAGGGTCGCATTTATCTTGCTATGCTATTTTGCAAAATATATACATGGGTTTCGACGTTGCATATTTTGCAGCGATAGGAAATGTTGTTTCCCATTTATTTTGTTGTTGTGTGTTTGCAAGCTATGCAATCCATGCAATCCGTGCTACGTGCAATGGCTTTGCAATATTTGGAGAATACCTCTATTGGCTTAGCTTAGCAAAATATGCTTATGGGAGAATGCAGTGTAAGCAGAAATCAAGCATTCCATAATATTTCGTGTGAACCACAATTTGTTTTCATTACAGACAAAATAAGTTTAATGCACTTTTGGCGCGTGTGGAACTTTGTTATGTGGATATGAATTTCTGATACACTTCATTACTTTGATCTTCGTTTTTGCCTGTGCCTCTAGACATCTTTGTTTTTGTTTTTATTCTCAAACCGCTAAACCCGCGACAACCATTTCCATGTGCATTATTCCCCTTGAATTTGGCAATCTACTCCCAACCAACCAACTGCCGTAAAGAAGTTTCACTTCATAAATTCAAGAAATGTTCTTACCCTTTCAGTTACCCTAATTCTATTGTCTCCATTTTCGTCTTTATCTGCACTTTTGCCTTCTTTTTTTTTGAGTTCGTTGTTATCATTTATTTCGTATTAATATATAGTAGAGTGCCAGTTACTGTCGAAATTCGACAGTTTTTCTAGTTATAGAAGCCTTGGAGAAGTTTTCTAACTTAACACGTACCAAACTTATACGGTTCAAATTAACTAACCGGAAAATCTTCTGCTAAATGTAATGTAAAAGTTTACCGATAAATTCAAATGATTTGATACATATCGATAGTTCGATGAATTTCAAGAACACTAAAATTCGATAACTCGATAAATCGATAAGCTTATATAACCTTGAAACTTCCAACCAATTTCAGTAGATAAATAACACTATGCGACAGTCAAAATCGGGATGGGATGAAACCAACGGGAAATGTTATATCGGTCAAAAACAAGTTATACGTGTCCCGGCGTTTCGCTGGGTCACGTCTAGGAATCGAGATATATCGATTTGAAGTTAGTAACTATCATACAGGGGAAATTGTCCCCTTTGGTGGTCTTTTGTTGACATAACTCGAGAACCACTAGTCCGATTTTGCTCAAACAAATTTAAAAATATTAAAAATTACAATTCCTTTAATCTGTTCATATTGCGTTTTTCTATATAATCAACAGTTTTAAAAAAATTTAATATTTTAGGCAAAAAATATTTTTTTTCTTCACACATTTATTTTTACCGGCAAAACTGTTGATTATATAGAAATAACGTTATATGAACAGATTAAAGGAATTGTAATTTTTAATTTTTTTTAATTTGTTTGAGCAAAATCGGACTAGTGGTTCTCGAGTTATGTCAAAAAAAGACCACGAAAGGTGACAATTTCCCCTATATGATATTTATATATATATCTCGATTCCTAGACGTGACCCAGCGAAACGCCGGGACACGTATAACTTCTTTTTTACCGATATAACTTTCCCCGGTAGTTTGAACCCTTCCCGATCACTGACCCCTACCATTTGTCTCACAGTGTAATTATCGATAACTCTGTAAGTTGAAAGAACTCCATGCATTACGACACCTCGATGAATTTCGTTAAGTCTAAAATAATGATAATTCAATAAACTATAACTTGATACATTTATTTAACTTGACAAATTTCGTTAATCCCACACGTTTTTATAGCTCGATAACTATCCGTAAATTTGGACAACTAAGTTTCTGTGTCTATAAATTTCGACAACTCAGTAAACATTGATCAGTTTGAATAATTCGATACGTTGCGATAACTTAATAAGCATGGATAAATTTCGATAATTATAAACTTCGATGATTCGATAAATTTCAGTAACCTTTAAGGCTGATTTTATATCGATTCCTATCGGAAAACTTCAACTCTGTTAACCTAATTCTTATGTATTTCTCATCGTCTCCATTTTCGCCTTTATCTCAATTTTCGTCTTTATCTTCACTTTTGCCTTTTTTTGTCTTCATCGTTCTCACTTGTTTCTTCATCTTCATATTTATCTTTATTTCAAAGTTTAATTTCAAATACGAAGTAAAACAAAATGCGAAACAGCTTAAATTGAACAGGTAGCAAAATCAACCATACACAAATATGGAAATTTTTTAACGACGAGTTTCAACCAATTTCGAAACTATAGAAACTCTCCACATCTACAGAAAATTACCTTTCCAAGTGTGTTTTTGGGTTTGAAATCGGTAACTTTACCTTGGTCTTCTTTTTGTTTTTATCTTTGACATCTTTGCTTTTATCCTTTTCTTTTTCTACTCACGTACGTGAGATGAGGTGCGATGACGTGTTAAGATGTGACGTAATTTTATGTGATGTGATAGGATGTCATGTCATGTGTTGTCATATCCTCTGATGTCATGTCATATGATATCATACCATATGATGTCATATCATGTCGTCGCTCCCAACGAAGAGTAGGACATCCCAAATTACCATGGAAGACTAGCACGTTTCACTATTCGCGTCGAAGACAAGCATATTTCATTATTCGCGTCGAAAAGTAGCACATTTGAGATTCTCGCGTGGAATACTAGCACATTTCACTATTCGCGTGGAAGACTAGCACATTTCAGATTTTTGCGTGGATGAGTAGCACATTTCAGGTTTTTGCGTGGAAGACTAGCACATTTCACTATTCGCGTGGAAGACTTGCACATTTCAGATTTTTGCGTGGAAGACTAGCACATTTCAGGTTTTTCGTGGAAGACTTGCACTATTCGCGTGGAAGACTAGCACATTTCAGATTTTTGCGTGGAAGAGTAGCACATTTCTGATTCTCGCGTAGAATAGTAGCGAATTTATACAAAGTGGTACCAGCAGCCGGCCAAAAACCGAACATACATGTATGTTTGTTATAATTATTTCTCCTCGACTAAGCTGAAAGTTTAATGTTGTGTATGGAGCTTTTCGATCTTTTATTTATATTTGGATAAAAAACTTTCGCAGAAATGGTATAGAATTCAAAAAAACTTATATTTTTGTATCGGAAAACTCTTTTCATCTGCAGAAGATTCCAAATTGTTTATTTAACCATTTTTTCATCGCAATTATAATTTATAGGTCCGCCAAAAACCCACAAAAACCCCGAAAACCCGAAAAATGCAATGGGGGACAAATAAAAAAATCGTTAGTATTAAAAAATGGTTAAATAAATAATTGGGTATTATTATTGTAAGTCTCCTGAAGAGAACTAGAGTTTTCCGATCGAAAAATATTAATTTTCAAGAATTCTATACCATTTCTACGAAAAGTTGTTTTTTCCCATACTTATAAAAATACATGGAAAACTTTGAGCACTTTGAGCGACCACTAAATATTTTTTGATTTTAAAATAAAAAAATAGGGGTATTCATTTTTACCTTCCTTTTATCAGCTCGGGATGTAACTATGTAACATTGATGCGCCTAAAAGATGCAGCGATTTCTATTCTCAAGTTACATACGTGATGACAGTACGAATGGCCATTATAATAGGGGGGTTTTAGTTTTTTAATCTATAATTTTTTTTCTATATAGAACAATCCTAGGGGTGAGAGCATTACAATTCCGACTTTACTGTTTTTGGACCACCCTAATGTACATGTAGTCATATCAAGAACATCTCATTTCAAAGTGATATTGTTTTCCACTTTTGTTTATTTATTTATTGTTAAGAATTTTCATTAAAATAAAGTTCATTCTCTGAATAAAATCCATATAAACCCATATTTAAAACTTTGTAGAAAACTAAAAAAAAATCTAAAAATGTTCATCTAAATTTCAAAATTATTTTCTCAGAATTTTTTGAGTATATGGATTTAAAGCCCTTTCAATTTTATTGCAATAATGTGCAAGTTTCAAGTGGCTAAAAATTTCCGTTGTTGCGGTTTTCTTCCTTAAAAAAATAAATTGTGTTTATTCGTTATATGGGAGCAAAGGTATTTTTAAGGCTCTGAAACATGCGCATTATCACACTACAATTGAATCGGCTATAAAGCTTCATACTCAAAAAAATTTTAACACTTCTGAGTAAATAAGTTTGAAATTTGGATGAAGATTAGTTGATTTTTTTTTAGATTTCTACAAAGTTTTAAACGTGGGTTTACATGTTTTTTTTTTTAATGAACTTTATTTTAATTGAAATTGAACATACTGACAACAAATTTTCAATGGTTAACCATAAAACAATATGAATTGCAAAAAGCTGAAAGGGGAAAAATGCATTTAAGAAAAATAAAAGTGGATGACCTCCAGCAAATGATCACTAAACGCTGTATACCGTCTGAATTTCATGAGTTTTATATACAATTATAGAAATATAAAATAAGCACTTAATTTTCAATATAAATTGGGTAGGTTCAGAAGGTGCAGAAGTTGAGCGCAACCGTTGCTAAAAAAATCAATGATCGTAATGCGTCTTCTGAACGGCTTGATACATTAGCTGTCAAATTCAAAACACACAACACGTTGTCTCAAATGATCAGAAAAATATTACGAACATCTAACACGCAACTGTTCAGTTGATCAGAAGTACAAAACCAGAGCTGTGTAAGTGTGAAATCATTTTCAATTTTAAATCAACAATTTTTTTCTTTCCAGTTTTCATTACTTATTCTTCGCTTAGGATTGAGGTTTAAAATTTTTGAATTTTCCATTCTCTCAAAGCAGTTATGAACTCACACACCAACATATTCATAGCAAGATTGAAAAAACCAATGCCCAATCAAAAAAAGGTTTAACACTGAATGAGTATTGAAAAGGCTGCAATCTTTTATGTGTGTGCATTCTTTAACTCAGTACCAATCATTAGTTCAAAGACACCCTGGTAAATAACTTTTTGATAAAAAGGAAGATTTTTGACAATTGCTCAATTGTAAAAATTCAAACCGGCGTTACCCAATTTAAGTTTTTTGGTAGAGGGGATTTTATATCATATGTTTGGGATTATATATAAAACAGTTGTATTAACATTTACGTTTTACATATAATTCATGTTTTATCTTGAAAATGTTTAAAATTTACATAAAATTAGATAACTACTTCGCATAAGCTTTACATTTAGGTTGATAAAATTTTAGTGAAAATATTTTAAAAATCTTAGTGTCTTTAATAAAAAAATAGCTCATCATAAAAATTGTATCGCCGTTCGGCATCGGCGTAAGTTTGTAGGTCCCTCCCATTTGTGTGACTGCAAAGGCGCACGCTACAAATCGGAGGAGAAGCTCGGCCAAAACTTAGCAAAAGTGTCAAAGCCAAAATATGATTATTATAAATAAATTTAGTTTCAAACAAGTCGCAA